GAGGTCGTAAAAGCAACATTAAAGTTAAGAGCATTAGACATTGATAATAATAATTTAGTAATAATCTTTATAATATTTCCAAATGATGAAGAAAACGAATTAGCAAAAAAATTAATTGGAAAAGTTGGTGGAACAGCTATTGTTCTTCATACTCCAATTACATGGAAAAAGTTAATTAATCTATTTATGCATATGGAAAACAGTTACTTTGCTATTAATAAAAATAATAAGAGTCTGCATGTTAATGAAAATATTTTGAAGAGAGTAGCAGATTACAAGTTTTATAAGGCTGAACATTCATATCAAAATATATATGAAGACATAACAGAAAGTGATTCTAAGATGAACAAGTGCATTTTATGTGTGGTATTTTCTCAACCCTTTTTGTTAAAACGCATACCTTTTTAATACGTTGTTTTAATATGTTTAACTTCTTTTTTAATCTGTACTGGCTAACATTTGTCATTTGTCGTTATTTATAGGATGATAATTCTATTAGTCTAAAGGTGATTTATAAGGAGAAAATCTATATGGCGTCTAGGGCGAATTTGCCGGATTTATTTATTTCTGCAAAGCATGTGAAATTTGACCGGCGTTATGGTTAGGGCTGGGATAAGAAACGTTGTATATTAAACTTTGGTCGGAATTTTTTTATTAGAACGTAAAAGGCGATTTCCTAGGCAAAATTTTGAGCTACGATGTTTTAAAAAGCCTTCGATTTCACGCTACACAAAGATTACAATGATCTTGATATCTACGCATAAAAATTCCTTTTGGGGTTTCAGGAAATTTGCCCAGGCGTTGAATAGCAAAACTCATTTATAAATTCAAGATTATCGATTTATATTCTTTTTATCAATTTTCTAATTCTTCATTTTTTTTTAGAACACATTGCATCAAGTTTCAAAACTTGGTTATTCAACAATTTCTGCAACCAATGGTTTAGAAGCAGTCGCATTGATTGATTCGAAATCTAGTGATACATACCCCTCGAGTTCACTTTTTTCAGATATAGATCAGATAAAGTCTCATAAAATTTCATTAATTTTAACAGAATATAATTTGGTAAGTTTGTTTTTCTAAGTTCGTTGTTTATATCAATCATGGCAAAATATTCACAATTCATTAATTATGTTGCTTAGCCAATGATGTCAGGCTTTGATGCTTCACAAGCAATTAGGGCAATGAAACCACCAATTTCAAGTATTCCAATCATTGTCCTAACAGATTTACCAGTAGATGAGATACGAAAAAATGTATCGAGTCAGGAATAAATGATTATCTTGCAAAGCCTTTGAAAACTGAAGAACTTGAAAGAGTTCTAGCTAAATGGATTGGTAAAAATTAAAATTATTCATGATTACAAGCTATTATAAAATTTTAAATATTTATACCGCATATGTTTTTAAGCTTAAATTTTTATCAATAGGCTTCACAATATAAAATATGTTTTTATATTTGATGTTTTGTAATTATATGTTGCAGTTATATGTATTTTATCTATATTCAATTACTTCTTAAGCATTTCTTCTTGTAATGGTTCGATTAATCTTTTCATAATATATTCCTCGTTTTCTCTAAAAAGTATTATTTTTTTAATACGAGATGATATTAATCCAAAAACGAGTATGTACAACGTACATGCGTAAAGTATGGTTTACTGTTGAGTAAAATGATGTTTCCGATTTGCAACTAATGATGCTTGACGAAACTCACGTGACTGACAAACCATATAGTTTCGTCAATTCGCCAATGACGAAACATATGAGTTTCGTCAATTCATCAGTGGCAAAATAGTTTCATTAGGCATCTATATTCACAACTGATTGGATGATGCATTATTACGACTTCATCTGGTGGCCCCAAATAATTATGCGCTTAAGAATAGAGATGGGCAAGGTAATTTACTTATTACACAAAAGCCAAATCACACTATGCGACAATTTAATATGTTATTAGTTGTAAGTACAGTCAGAACTCCCTAAATGCAATGCGATGGGACCATATATAAAAATTTAGTCAAACATGCACTTAGAGAGGTATTGCATTTAGGTAGGTAAAAATCTATAGATGTAATATTAGTTAGGCCCAAGAGAAGACATGCATTTAGGGAGGTGTTTCATAGGGCGTGCACTTAGGATGTATATATTATTAGTAAATTGTCGCATATTGTGATTTAACTTTTACGTAATAAGTAAATTACCTTGCCCATCACTACTTAAGAACCTATGAATTTAAGCCCAATTCGATGATTTGAATATGATTGTAATATATCGTTAATTGTTACCACATAAGAAATGTAATAATAATCAATTAATAATTCGACTATAAATTCAAATACGCAAGAAAAATTGTATATTTGATCCTTCAGCATGTTATTTGCACTGTAAATTTATTCTATTGAAATCCTTGATATATTTCTTAGATCTGCTTATAATATACACCATGTCAAATATAAAATTAAAGATTGGCATAACTTTACTAATAGAGAAAATGTTCATTCGGTCTTGGACAGTTATTCTGCCGAATCCTCCTCTTCATATAAATTCATAACGAACAAGGTGTTGGTTATTTGTTTTACAAACAAAGCCCGTTCATCCCTCTTACTATTTCAGTTAACAAGTGCAAAGATATTATATTCATATAGTAAGGCTGATTCCTCATGGACCAACTTGTCCAACTTCTATGGAAGCATTCAAAGCACGTGGTTCATACCTTTTAAAGTTTACAGAGCCATTAGTTAAAAATATAGCAGTACTTCGACCTCGTAATATTATAAATCGCATTCATTCTGAACTGGGGCCAAAACATCATGACCGGGGTAAAATCGCCACCCAAAAAAGTTTCTAAATCATGTGATATTGTCAATTCATCATGATTAAGATCTAATATTTAGTAAAATATTAATTGATTTAGTAAGTGATATTTTTTCTTCGATTCTTCAAAATGAAGAGCTATGATCTCGACAAACCAAGTTATTCTTTTAAAAGCATAAAATCCAATAAACATAATATTCTAAAAATATACATTGATTGCCGTGACCAAATTTTCATAATAATAATCGAAAAAAGATGAAAGTCGAAATAAATTATAAAACTAATCAAGAAAATGCAATTGCACCAGAAAACCTTGTGGATTTTATTTTCAATGCTCTTCCGGAAGACTATAACTCTGATTATTTATTTGAGCAAAAAATTTTTATAAATCTGAATCCGGGACGCAACAAAAAAAAATTATTGAAGAAAACATAATGAATCCAAATAGTAACAAATAGCTCGATAGCATCATAAAAACTTTGAGCTATTGCATAAATTGAAAGAGGATTATAATCATTTTAAAAGGCAATTGAATATTCCAAATACTTAGAAAAACCGTAATCGTAATACTTTCTTGCTGTAATAAATCTTACGTTTACTGAATTTATTTGAAATAAATAATTAATTAATTTATTGTTATCGTTATTATTTTGTTAGTTTATAAATTTTTGTATGTTCAAGTAACATGGATTTTTGATATATTAGTCAAGTGACGTTCGAAACTTTTGGGTGGCAATTTACCCGGACAAACATCATACATTGTAGCTTGGAGAAATAAAGCAATTAGGTTAATTTTTGCACTATATGGGTTTCAAAAATCCGTTGGGTCAGTCGGATTTTTTTTTAATTCTGACTGAATAATGAATGATAACTCTAAAACACCTATTTAATCGCGAAATGAAGCAATTATTCATGATATCGTTACGTTTAAATCAGCTAGTAATTTGACGGCCTTTATTTGTGATTATCTTCAATATCGGGCCTTTACCTGTAATTTTCGTTTTGGGCTCTTACCTGTAAATTCCCATAAAAAAATCAAGATGCTCGTTACGTGATTAGAGAACAGCTATTCTATTAGATGGGATCTTGGCTAGGAAAATCACCCTTCGAGGTTTTCCGATCGGTTAATTCGGATAAACTTAGACCAGAATACCAGCTATTATTTACATGTAAACCATCTTTCACTTTAATAATTTTATAATTTATTAAATAAATATAGGATCAATAAAGTAAACGATGGCTTACACGTAAATTATTTGGGCTAATTTTGATTGCATATAGAATTACTTATAACGCTGGTCAAATTTGCCGATCGTTTGGCTAAGTTAAAAATTTTTGAATCTAAATCTGGTCAAATGATCTACAAATGTGACCAAAGTTATAAGTAATCGGTTCCGCTATTTAGATCATTAGGATAGCAGCGCGACGTAGTCGCGCTTAATGTTGTTAGACAAAACCTTTTTGCAAATGACAAAAAACGAAACCTACCCCCTCAAATGACAAAACCTCTGGCGAAACTGACAAAACCTGCGAAACCTGCGAAACCTGTAAAACCTTCGAAACCTCTATAAAGACAAATTTCTTATAGATAGCGAAGTTTCTGATAAAAGTTAAAGCCCTCTATAAAGAATAAAGCCTCCGTTATAAAATAAAGCCTTAAAGGCTATGTTATTGTTTTGATGTAAAGTTACTATTTTTGGAATAATTTTTGATTAAAAACTTATCATTGTTAAGATGTAAAGACATTGTTTGGATGCGAAGCCATTGTTTAGATTCGAAACTATTATTTAGGTGCAAAGCCATTGTTTTTGTATTATTTTTAATTAAAAACGATGCTATATTTTAAATACAGAATTATAATTTTTTGTATTATTTATTAGATACAAAGTTATTATTTTTGTATAATCCCTGATTAAAGGTTAATCAGCATAAAATAAATTAAAGTCATATATTAAATCTTGTAGATGTATAAATCGTGGCTGTAACATTTAATAGTATAGTTAATAATGATAAAGGTAAATTAATGAATAAATAGATATGATAGTTTTTTTTTATATCCGAGTTTTGTAGACAAAATCTATTAAATATAAGATCATAAAAATTATAAAGTTTTTACTTTTACTAAAGATTAGCCGTTAAGTATCTGATTCAATATTTAATAAGCAGGTAATTAATAGAATCAAATTAATATATATGATTTTTGGGGTTCCGTTAATTTCACCGACACTCACTTCACCAACATGCCATTCCACTAATAATCAATTCACTGAAAAGTTAATTATTTCACCGACAGTCATTTCACTGTTAAAGTAATTCTGGTCATTGTCGGTTTAAGGTTAGTGTAATTTTAAAACAAACGTGTCGGTGAAATGAACTGTCGGTAAAATAATTGTCAGTGAAGTAAATATATTAATGAATTGATTGTTGACGAATGGCATGTTGGTGAAGTGAGTGTTGGTGAAATGATACAGACCTATTTAATATAGATTATATTTTTATTTTAAAACGAATATACTATAAATATAAATTTTTATATTTAATTTATTATAAATATATAAATATATTTTTTAATTTTATTAATTTTATTTATTATTTTTTAATTTTAATAATTTTATTTATTATTTTTTTATTAATTCTATTATCTTTTATTAGGTTGTTACTTTTTATTAGTTGTGTCTTTTGTCACCTTTTGTCACCTTTTGTCACCATTCATCATTTTGTCATTTTAAAAATTTTGACAAAAGACAAAATCTAGTTTTGACTTTCATTATTGACAAAGCCCTTAGGTTTTTCTAACAATATTAGTCATGCTTAAACAAGAATCATAATACAATTAGATGTTTTTTGAAAGTTAATGCATCTTTATTTTTACCTTTTCAAATTTAATTATTATTTTCAAATTTATAACTTTAATTATTAATAAAAATACATAAATAATAAATTCCAAATGATGTAATTACTAAATTACATATGTTATTGAAATTATAAATAATACATTATTAAAATAATTATATTAACTTACTAACCCATCTATTGTTGAAATTGTGAACTCATTTATTGTTAAAAATCATTGTCAAAAGAATAACTTGGTTTGTCGAGATCATAGCTCTTCATTTTGAAGAATCGAAGAAAAAATATCACTTACTAAATCA